AGAACACGCCGGCCACAGAGATTGGAGGAACGTTAGGAAGAACAACCTTCAGAACACGGCCAAAGAGCCCGAAAAACCCACAACAACCATTAGATCCTGACTGTGAAAGCCTTTGCGAATGCATATTTGAATGGTGCTATCATATTTGCCAAGTCTTCTTTTCCTGAGACTAAACAAGCCCAGTTCATTCAGCCTTTCTTCCGAGAGCTTGGTTTTCAATCCCGATTATCTGTGTGCCCTTCTCTGAATGTGTTCCAGTTTTTCTCTAACCTTCTTAAAGTACAGTGTCCAGAAGTGAATTGGGCCCAGTACTCAAGATGAGGCCTAACCACATGAACTGGACTTATATACTTCTGGTGGTGCAGTGGTTGAACTGCAGTATTGCAGTAAAGACTCTGCTTATGATACGAGTTTAATTTGGGGCTGAAGGCTGACTCAGCCTTTCGTCCTTCCAAGGTCAGAAAATTGAGTAACCGGCTCACTGGGGTGGGTGGGATGTCTAGCCGGCATAATTAAATTATGAATCACCCAGAGAGAGGTTTAAGCATTATGGGGCAGTATAAAAGTGAAACCCGTATGAACTATTGGTTCAATGTCAAGGGTTGGGACTAAGAAAAAACAGGGCTCTTTTTGAGTCAAAAAGAGCGGGTGAGCTAAAGAGGCTGGACCTGCGGTTGCCATTTATACTACTGAGGCCCTTGCCAACTTGGTTTTGGCTTCTGAAGACTTCACATGTGGAGCTGATTCTTCTACGTATTGGACACCCAACTCATTTGAGGAAGATCTCTTGGATTTTTCTCTAAGTTTGAATTCAATTGGAAACTTGAACTTTACGAGCAACTTTTATACTCGTGCTATTGCCAAGGTCAGGGGTGGGGGAGAATTGTAACTAATGTTGTTAGAAATTGCGTATCTTGTTTGTTATGTTACTGCGAATGAGAAAAAAAACTCCTTATGTGAAATTGTGTTTACAACGTTCCTCAGTAGATTTCTAAATAAGGAAATAGCCCCATAAAATTAAAAGTATTACATAAAAAGCACACTTCACATCTGTGAATGCAGCATTTGCCTTTTCTGCAACTATATCATATTCTTGGATCATATTCAGCACTGTAAATATTCTAGCATCCTTCTCGCCCATAGTATTGCTGAGCCAAATATCTCCCATATTAAAACTGTGTGTTAGGTTCCTTCTTCCTAGGAGTTGAACGTTGCATTTATCCCTGTTAAATTTCACTCTGTTGTTGTCAACTCAGTCCTAGAGCTTCTCAAGGACTTCCAGAACTTTGTTTCTCTCTTCCCGGGTATCAGATATTGAACCCAATTTTGTTTAACTTGTAAATCTGATAAGCATTCTGTGCACCTCCTTATCAAAGTTATTAGTAAAAACGCTGACGAGCACTGGGCCCAAGACATTTCTGTACAGAGCATTTCTGTACTTAGGGCCTAATCAGCCTGAAGAACCTTGAAGAACATGTTACATACACTTCCTTTTTGCCTTTCTCATTCACTACAAGCAATGCCACTGAAAAACACAGCCTTAATCTTAGTTCAGCATGAATACACCCTTCAGCTCAATGCCCAGCTTGCCCATTCATGAGGTCAGGTCTGCTCAACGTAATTCCACTACCCCCAGCCCTGATATCCTCCAGCTATGTTGGACAAAAACTCAACAGATATTTGTAGAGGGCACCAGCTTGAGGAAGGCTGCTGTAGAAGACAATCAGCTACATGGATCTATATAATGACAGGCATAAAGCCGCTTCTGATATCTGACAAGGGTCTGGATTCAATGATCCATATATAGCGTCTCTTCCATAATGAAGACTGGGATTACTGACCTTTGCTGCCAAGAAATAGCCAACAGCATTGACGTCCAAAACATAACGGAAGCTTGCTGCAGTCACATCGTCTGTTTTTTGGAAGGGGGGAACTGTTGACAAGTGGAAATACAAAACCAAGATTTTTTTCCATGCAAGTAAGTTGAAAAGTTGACGAGATTCTTGCATACCTGCTAATAAATCTTGCTTTTTTCTTCTTTCCCTTATTGAACCTTTTCCTTTAAACTCACCAGACAACACAAACACACAACAGATCAACATATATATCAGACAAACTGAATACAGAAAGCAATCAGCTCTGTGGGTCTCCTCTGTTTCTCTCCTCTGCCAGTATAACTTGCCCATAATGCTGGTCGGGAGTTCCGGAAATTTTAGTCCCCAAACTGTTAATTATCAACCTCTGATCTCAAAGCTTAATTTCTTCCAGGGTTCCTAGACTTGCCTTACAAGGAACCTCCCACATCCCACAAGACACAGCAACCCTGAATCTCCCGAGATCCAAATTGTTTCTGAAATGACTCACAAACTGCAGCATTGTTTACAAGGCAATCAAGGCATCCATATAAGTTTATGGTCACGGAAACCAGATTCTGTGAGCAAGAGAGAAAGAGAAAATATATAAACAGAGAGATTCCAGGCAGGGTGAGAGGATGCAATAGAAGAACAACGATTCGTATAATTTTAGCGTGGCAAAAGGAAACAGCTTCCCTCCAAGCCAAGAGCTTCTAAAAGTGTTGGAATACAATTCCCATTATCCCTAGCAAGCACAGATATGTGCCATGGACAGAGGTGACAGGGCTTGTAGCTCAGCACATCTGGAAGGACCTGGACAACTAGGAGAACCAGGCCATTCCAGATGTGGGATCTTTTATACCACTGCAATTCCCAGGGAACAAAGGTGGATTTCCAGAATGGGGTGACCAAGCAAAAAGCTGATCTAAAGAAGTCTCCCCCACCCCGTCCTGTTCTTCCCACATTTCCAACCTACCTTAATATCTGTTTCACTGAGAACATCGCAGACCACAAAACGAGCTTCTCCAGGGCACCCAGATGCCTCCAGTTCCCTCTGAAGAGCTTCCCCCCTTTCCCCTACAAAGGCATACAACAGAGCAGTTGCAAACAGAGTTAGTGCAGAGTTCCAGGAACAGCAGAGACAAGTGGTAGTCGGAGGGGGGATGTTTTCTCTGCTTCTCCCTTCCCTTTGTGGGCCCACCTCTCCTTCCCTTCACTTCTGACAGCCAGATGGCTTCCACTCTATTGAACCAGGTAAACGTCCCTGTCATGTTCCCGCCTGTCCCTTGATTGTTTCCCCAATCCCAGGGCACAAGCTACATGTCATATCACTCCCACCAGTTGATTACATCAGCATTATGTACTATTAATGATAGTTGTTGTTTGGTTGTTAAGTCATGTCCGACTCTTCATAATCCCATGGACCAGAGCACGCCAGGCCTTCCTGTATTCCACTGCCTCCCGGAGTTGGGTCAAATTCATGTCGATAGCTTTAATGACACTGTCCAGCCATCTTGTCCTCTGTCGTCCCCTTCTCCTCTTGCCTTCACACTTTCCCAACATCAGGGTCTTTTCCAAGGAGTCTTCTCATGAGATGGCCAAAGTATTGGAGCCTCCGGTTTGGGTAACCCCCTCTCTTTCGGGGGGACGACTCTTGCTGCAAAGAGTGAGGTCCGCAGTTTGGGGATACATCTGGACCCGACGCTTACCATGGAAACCAGGGTGGCATCCTTGGCCCGCTTCACCTATTTTCATCAATGGCTGATTGCCCAGCTGCATCCGTATCTTGATTGGGGGCCCCTGACTATGTGGGGCTGCCTTTGTGGTTGATACGGAAACTTCAAATGGTGCAGAATGTGGCAGCCAGGCTTCTTAGTGGGGTGAGGAAATATCAGGATATGTCCCCCACTGTGGCTGCTTTCCATTGGCTGCCCATTCATTTCAACATTGACTTCAAAGTGCTAATGATGACGTATAAAGCCCTAAACGGTTTGGGACCTCGATATTTGGTAGAACGCCTTCTCTCACCTAGATCTTCCTGAATCACCCAACATAGCCAGCAGGGACAGCTGAGGGGCCTGATGCCGAGAGAGGCCCGGAAAGAAAGAACAAGAAACCTGGCCTTCTCAGTAGTGGCCACTCGGCTATGGAACAGCATCTCGACAGAAATCCGTCTGGCACCCTCGTTGGGTGTTTTTAAAAGCCATTTAAAAACTTGGTTCTTCAGGCAGGGCTTCCCTCCAGTCAATTAACTTATCTTTATTCTTCCTATTTCTAATTATTTCATCTTGGCAATTGATTTATATGTTAAAAATGTGATGTTTTAAATGTTTTATGATATTTGTTTTGCTGATGATTTATTATGTATCTAAGCCACCCTGAGTAGACTTTGTCTGGAGTGGTGGTGGTAAAAATCTAATAAAAGTAAAGTAAAGTAAAGCCTCAGCTTCAGGATCTGTCCTTCTAGTGAGAACTCAGGGTTGATTTCCTTCAAAATGGATAGGTTTATTCTCTTTGCAGTCCAGGGGACTCTCAAGACTTTCCTCCAGCACCACAATTCAAAAACATCAATTCTTCGGCGGTCCGCTTTCTTTATGGTCCAGCTCTCACTTTCATACATCACTACAGGAAAAACCATACCTTTGACTATGCGGACCTTTGTTGGCTAGGTGAGGCCTCTGCTTTTTAAGATGCTGTCTAATAAGGATTACATTACATTACTCTTACATTACTAAGAATACTTTTATTTGCACCATCACTATACATACCTCTTATTTTATTAATATCCAAGCTAATTTTGCACTTTAAGCATATTCCATAACTATTGTACAAACAGAACAGTAACATTGAATAAATTGTCAAAAACATCAGATAAAAACACAGAATTTTATCTAGCCATTTAGTCTCCTAGTCAGCAACCACATTCCCGTAAGATTTACATGCAAAGTAAAGATAATCTACAGGAGAATGCTGCGAGTGAGAAGCCAATGCCACTTAAATTAGAGCACAAGAACTGCTTTTGAAATCAATGGGCAATGTGGAAACTCAGCTACTACTGCATGCTGGCAAAGTATTTCAGAGGGGTACAGAAGACAGAAATTCAGCAGGTGAGGTTTTTGCATCACGGCAACTTTTTACTAAGTTGAACCTGTCAGTTGAATGCCACTTTTAGAACTAAAATTACTCACTTATTCCTGCTTTCCTCTGTCTACACTAGGAAAGGTAAACCTGTAAACCAGTTGATCTTGAACTTCCAGTTCTCACCAGTATAACCAATGATCCAGGATGTCAGAGACTGTGGTTCCTAAGATCTAAGGTGACAGATTTACCTTACCTTATTTGGAACAAAAAAATAAGAAAGTGGAGGAGGGGATAGAAAATGTTTCAGACTTACGTTCATATTCGGGTGCACAGAAGACTACGTTGGCTCCTTCGTGAACTGGGAAAGAAAGTTGACATTGGAATGAGAAGGTGAATGCAAGACAGAGGCCAGAGATTCAGATCACATATTGGCATTAGACCAAACGGTTCCTCTCACCCAGACAGGTTTTACACCTGCCTCCCTCAACCAGGTACCTCAGGTCTTGGCCAGCAATTTCTATATTGAGAGGGAATGATGGGGTGTGTAGTCTGGCAACATCTGGAAGAGCACATATTCCCTCAAGAACATGCACCGCACTCTCTAAAAAGAGAGCCTCGGAGCACCTACAGAACACATCTCCTCATCCTTTAACTCCGTCCAGATCTGCCCACCACAAACTACTTCTGGACTGGGGAGGAAAACTTCCACGACGGTGAGGAATTCCCTCTGAACACGTCCAGAACTCCTCTCGCCTTCCCGTCCCCACCTCCAACTTCATCATTCTCTCTTCACCACACTATATCTGGACTGGGGAACTTTTTTTAAGAGTTCGATGGAGCCCGGGCACCTGCTTGGCAGCAGCTCTCATCGATCTCCCCTCTCCGATCACCCTCCCCAGATCGCCCTCACCGAACACTCTCACGATCGCTTCCCCAATGCCTCTGCTGCCGCCCGTCACGCAGACGACCTTGCCCGCGTAGCACAGCTGCCCTGCCATTCCAGCTGTTATCGCAGCTTCTCCCAATTGCCAGCCGAGCTTTGGAGGGAGAAGCCGCAACGTGCGGGTTTTTAAACCCATTGGCCACACCTCCTTTCGCGCGGCATGCTGGGGAATGTAGTCCTAGAGAGGGCCAGGTTTACACTTTGAGTACAGTACTGGAAGTCCCTGGAAGACTTTTGAGTCCTGTGGTGCCCCTTGTGCTGTTTCCGCTTTGTGGTATGCGTATTTATTCCGAGGCAACTCCCGCCGAATTGAAGAGGGGATTACTCTCGAGTAGTAAACGGTTCCTGAAGTTGTCAGTCCTACTGAAATATTTGTGATGTTTTCTGAGCAACCGAGTAAAATCGGGGTCCGGACTTGAGTAATTCTGAGACTTGCTTCCCCTAGGTGAAAAACAAAAAGGCATAGCATTTCTTGGACTGGGTTGTATTTTGTTTCTTGGATACTGTATATAAAACGTTGTGTTTAGTGTGAATCACTCCACCGGACAGTGTTAATTTTTTAAAAAAAGAACAGTGCTGGTGCTTTTGCTTTTCACATCACTTCAGAAAACTGTGATATTAAGGAAAGTATTTTATTTCTATAAAGTGTAGTTTTCTGCTTACTCAGAAAGATGGGTTGAATGTAGTCAAAGCTCTGGAACGAATTAGTTGACACTTAACAATTCATAATATTAGAGTTTTATTAAGTACAGAAACTGGAATCATGCATACAGAGAAATACAGTATGTTGTTGTTTAGTCGTTTAATCATGTCTGACTCTTCATGACCCCATGGACAAGAGCACGCCAGGCCCTCCTGTCTTCCACTGCCTCCCAGAGTTGGGTCAAATTCATATTGGTCACTTCAGTGACACTGTTCAACCATCTCGTCCTCTGTCGTCCCCCTCTCCTCTTGCCTTCACTCTTCCCCAACATCAGGGTCTTTTCCAGGGAGTCTTCTCTTCTCATGAGATGGCCAAAGTATTGGAGCCTCAGCTTCAGGATCTGTCCTTCCAGTGAGCACTCAGGGTTGATTTCCCTTAGAAATGATAGGTTTGTTCTCCTTGCAGTCCAGGGGATTCTCAAGAGCCTCCTCCAGCACCACAATTCAAAAGCATCAATTCTTCGACAGTCTGCTTTCCTTATGGTCCAGCTCTCACTTCCATGCATCACTACAGGGAAAACCATAGCTTTCACTATGTGTACTTTTGTTAGCAAGGTGATGTCCCTGCTTTTTAAGATGTTGTTGAGATTTGTCATCGCTTTCCTCCCAAGAGAAAGATATAGCTGTTGTTAAAATGCTGGTGGTGGGTGGGTCCAGGGTCACTTTATTCAGAGGGCAAAGCGGGCATCTGCCCAGGGCCACCCAGCAAAACTCATCTCTTCCGACAGAGGTTGAGTGAGGAAAGGGGTTGAGTAAGGGCAGCCGGGGTACGCAGGACACTCTACTTAGCCTCAGAGGCACTCTTCCCGCCAAAACCCTCAGCTGGGTTGCGGCGGCTGTTCCTTCAAAGTGCCTGCAGCCCCCCGCCTCCTCCCGCGCCTGAGCCCAGCGTCCCGAGACCCCACACGACAGGCAGCTTGGGCATGTCGTGAGAATGGCTGATGGTCAGATTCCAAAAATTGCCTGTATGGAGAATTAGTGGAGGGAAAGCACCCCAGTGGAAGACCACAGCTGCGATACAAGGGTATTTGCAAGCGGGATCTGAAGGCCTTAGGAATGGACCTCAACAAATGGGAAACCTTGACATCTGAGTGTGCAGCCTGAAGGCAGGCGGTGCAGCATGGCCTCTCCCATTTTGAAGAGACAATTGTCCAGCAGGTCGAGGCAAAGAGGCAGTCCTGAAACCAGCCAAATCAGGGAGCTGGACAGGGGACAGATTGTATTTGTCCTCAGCGTTGAAGGAATTATCACTCTCGAATCAGCCTTCTCAGCCACACTAGACGCTGTTCTAAGACCTCTATTCACGTTTCCATAGACTCTTGAGACTGAGGGATGCCTATTACTGAGAGACTTTGAGTCCTGTGGTGACCCTTGTGCTTTCTCGTATGCATATTTATTCCGACGCCACTCCCGCTGACTTGAAGAGGGGATTACTCTTGAGTAGTAAATGGTTCCTGAAGTTGTTAGTCCTACCGAAGCAAGCTAATTACCTCTGTTGGGAGTGACTATATTTCAAGACCGTATTTCAAGACTGCAGTGTTATGCATGTTTATATCTCCAATGAGATCAAATAATTAAAATAAAACTCAAAAGTGTGGGCTGTAAATGGGATAAAGAAGATTTACCTTCCCTCTCCACCCACATTTATATTAACGTGTTTGTAGCACAAAGTCAGGTTTGAAATGGTCAGAGCTCTGGAAGGAAGTAGTTGACATTTAACAATGCATAATGTTAAGAGTTTTATTGAGTCCAGAAATTGGAATCATCCAGACACAGAAAGATGGCATGTAGCTTGTGTTAAAATGCTGGGAAGGGTATTTGTGTCAGTATCCACTCTTCCTTGGGCGTGGGAGCAAGTATCATACAAAGATGCAGCATCACCCTGTGTTGAAAACCAGTTAACCCCGGTAGTACTCATGGCTGACAGCAGAGGCATGCCTAATTTGCAGAGAGGTCTGAGAGCATTTTTTAAATAAATCTTGAATTTACAGTACTTTAAGTTTTGCTCTCACTCTGATCTTGGGGAGCTGCCTATTAAATTTCTCATCCAAATCTCCTCCTAAACGTCCCCATTGCTAAGGCCAAGAAAACATGAACGCCTGCCAGAGTAGAATGCTAGTACAGTCATCTCCTTACAGGCAGAGAAATCATCCCTGTTAGGCCTATGGGCTTCCTCTGAGGCCTGTCAGGCCAAGCCATCACTCTCAGTTCATTGCCCTTGTAAAAGACAGATGCTGTAAATTGCTTTCCTCGGGCATTTCAAGATCTCCTCACACCCAACAGAGTGGGTGGGTTATTAGTTGCCTTCAGACAACTATTACAAAAGGAAATCTTGGTAGACTCAGGAGTTAGTTGATACCGTTGCTTCACACCATGTGTATGCATTGACTGGCAATTAGCTAAGTCATTTGGGTGGATCAGTAACTCAGCCAAACTGCATGTGCACAGAAAGAGGTACTATGGCAGTATAATGTAACTCAAGAAACAGCTTGGGAAAAATGAGGTGTGAATGTGTAGTCCCATTTTGGTGAACATATTTCTCATAATACTTGAGCATTTATGGATCAGTGAAAAGGGCAATACCTCTCCCAGAGGCTCACTTTGCAGCCCTGGGCAAACCCCTTGATCTCAGTCTCATTTCCCCCTATTTGGAAAAGAGGGACGCTTTGTCCCCAGACAAACACTGGCTTCCATGAAAGGGGCTTGAACTCTGAATTCCCACATCCCACAATCTCACATGAGAACTGGGCACCATGTATTTTCTTAACAGCAACAAATTCTTGAAGGTGGTTGGGAGTGCAGATGCAGAGTAAAGCACTCTACATAGTAAAACAAGAGCCCAAACTGGCATGTGAAGATTTAGCAGCATTAATACTGATACGGCAAGGTTTGTTCCTTTATAAGTGGTTATAGGTGCACATGCGCGGGTAGGGGTACCTACACATAATAGAATGTGTTTCTGATTCCATTAACCAGGCCCCCCAAATTTTAAAGCCTTTAAAATTAAGTTACAAGATATTGGATACTTTCTCAAAATGGAGTGTTACTCAAAGCGACGGATATGGAAACTACACCTCCCTGTCCCATAACAGAGTTGGAGGCCAGTCAGCCACTCTAGAGAAACACAAGTTCTGATTGGCTGACTGAGGTAAAGTTGCCATCCAATGAGATGTTTGATGTCAACTGTTGACTCTTGGGCCTTGATGACAATTGACTGTCCTCATCAGTAAGAGGCAGTGACCACTTTGAACAGTCCCATAACGCAGTTGGAGGCCAGTCAGCCACTCTAGAAAGACACAGCATAATCTACAAAGCCTAAACGGCTTGGAATCTCAGTACCTGGCAGAACACAGTTTCCCAATTAAAACTGCCCATCCTACACATACCCCCCAGGCTGGATAGCTGAGGGTGTAACCCTGAGGGAAGCCCACAAAGAAAAAAACAAGAAACCAGACCTTTTCAGCAATCACCTCTCAACTATGTGATCGGTTACTATCCATTATCCGCCTAACCCCTTCGTTGCAATTTTTAAAGAAACAACTTAAGACCAAGGTACAGTATTTTGGCAGGCATTTCAAAATATGCCACCTACTGAGCCCACCTAAATTGTGGGGTGAGCCAACAATGCCAATTTAAATGTTTTAGCTGACTTTTAGAATTTGTTGTTTAATGTATTTTAACTGAGAAACAGGATGCCCAATGAGAAGCCTGCTCCAGAAGAATGGTGATCGCCCAAAATTAAGATGGAGGACTGTGCAGCAGTGATGGGCAGGTCGGAGGGATGAATATATACAGCTGCACCGATACAGCTTCCTTTCTGAACAGGGGAGTAGAGCCATGCTAGGTCTATATGCCAGGTCTCAAAGCCATCCCAGCTTGACCTTTTTTGTCCAGGTGAGCCAGTTAGGTCTCTGTACCATTCTGTCAGGAAGAACCCCCAGAATAGAGAATTATGGGATTTGTGGTATTAAAAAAATGAAAACCCCATTCCTATTCATGGAATTGGCATATTCATAAATAGAAAATATGCTTTTCCATGGTACTAGACAAAAAAAGCCCATGTAATGTTCTGGAGGCAGGAGCTCGGCACTCCGCTACAGGCCAGCAGACTGGACCCACTCAGTGGAAACCTAAATGTCTTCTCTTCTGAGGTATGATGGAGATCAAATGGTCAAGAAGCATCCCACAATTCACCCAGTAAATATTTTTTAATTATTTTTAATGGTTGAGCGTTAAGACAGCCAGCCCTTCTGTAAAGAGGGGAATCACTGTTTTCTCCCCTGTCCTTGCAAGCACAGAGGAACTGTGATCCTGGCCCATTCCCACTAGCCTTTAACACCTTCAGTGACATCTTGGTGGTTCTTCGGTGCCATGCCAAGCTCAGCTCCTCCACTGATCACAAGGTCAGCCCCGGTGGAAAAAGTGGCATTAATAGCCAGGAACAAGGCAGCCCGTGCAACCTCTTCTGCGGTCCCGAAACGTCCCAGAGGCTACGAATGCAATGAAAAAGGGAGAGAAAGAATGGAGGACTCAATCTGCATCACACACACCACTTTGATGTACTCGGTTTCTCCCAAGAGTCCTAGTTTTTAATTAAAAGAAATGGCCGAGTTTAAAACAGAACTAGGCTCGCAGGAAAAATAAGTAGGGCCTCGAGATATTTTGGACTACAGTTCCCAGAATATCTTATCACGGGCCAGGTGGACTGTGATCATTTAAACAATAATACAAGTTTCTAGCCCTTCAGCTTATGAGATCAGCGAACTTAGGAGGACAGGCTACAAAGGATTTCCAATCGTTTGAGAGGCTTCGATTCTGTAATACTCAAAATGTTCATTTTCTCCATGACTAAACATAAGTGTATATGCAAAAATGGCTAGCATCTCCAAATCTGATTAGATTTGCATATTATCTAAAGATTGTAGAATCTAATAGATTTTTGATCATGCAGATCATAGCAGTGTTTACGGGGGTGGTGTAAATGCAGCCCTCCTTATCCAACAGTGCCATATCCATTTTGCCCGAACACTTACCGATTCATCACAGCCTCGCTGGATTGTTGCCTCTGGATCACCTGATTCGCTTGCCAGCCTCTGCCACAGAGGAGTCCAGATATTACCAGGCGAGATACTGGAATACAAATTATTGGGGTTTTTTTTATAAGAGAAAAGGGGGTATCAGGAAAAAGCAAGCGGTTCTATTTACCTATGGTGAGTGTTCTTCAAAATGAATGAGTTTTAGTGGAGATTTTTTTATGGAATACTGAAATTCCGGCTGACCCTAGGGAGGTAGTCTATGAGAATGGTAGTTCACAATGTACTAACAACATCAGCAACATTACCTGTTGACTCGGACTTCGTTTTTGCTCTCATCGAGGGCCAGTGCTTTTGTCATGGCAGTTTCAGCACCCTGTAAGTTTTAGAAACTGTAAGTGAGGGCAACTAAAAGGCCATTAAGATAATAATATTCAAGGTCCCTATTTCTTTGAGGCATAACTGGTTTCAGTATTCCTGGGGGTCATAATCTAAAAAAGATGACTCTTCCCCCCTCTGGTTTGTGGTACGGAAAATCACTGGGACAATCATCTCACAGAAAACGCTTCCATTTCCCCTCATCTGTAGACCAGACTTCTAATCAGTAGCACAGAAGTAGGGGTCAATTTTAGTTTTTAAACAATGGCCACCCTGATGACAGAGTTATGGTTTTTCAAGGTCTTTCCCTTGTAAATAGTTCCTGGGCTCCCTTTACTTGAACGATGGTGAGGTATAAATAAAATGAATGAATGAATGAATGCATTAATGAATGAATTGATTACTTAATTAATTAATTAATATGAAGACCTGGATAGCAACCACCCAAATGACATCACTCACAAGGAGTTATATCAAACTTCAAATGTGTTGCAAGTAATTTAAAAAATGGTTAAGAGATAAGAGGGCTCTGTACCTTCATGTCACTTGGCAATTAGCTGACTAATCTGAACCATAGATCTCAACAAAACATACAACCATGTATTATGTATGGAAAGCGCAACCATTTATAAGATTTATAAGACTAACCAGGGGGCTAAAGGCCTATTCCTTTGGTCCTTAAGTGTAACTTAATATACATAAATTACCTAATGAACTTTCATTGTATTAAAAAAACCCTTATTGGTTGTTATTAAAAGCACAGGATCAGAAGGTTCTAAAATCTTTGGCAACTGCAGTTTTAAAATAAGAGAAGAGAAGAGAAAGACCCTTGATATTTCAATTACCTTGGTTGCGACATATGCAACAGAATTATAATATCCAGTATAAGTAACAAGGCTGGAGATGTTGATGATGTTTCCTTTTGTCATCCGGAGATGAGGCAGCACATACTGTTAGCAGAGAGTTGAGGAATAAAGGTGACCAAGAAGCACTACACCAATATAGGAAGCTAACCTGTGTCTCACTGGGCCACTGACCCATTAAGCCAATCAATGGGGCTGGCCCTACCATTAGGCAGAGGCAGAAAGCAGTAGCTGCCTTGGGTAGGAGAGCAGAGGGTTAGTTATCAAAATGGGACGGTTGCATTTCTGCTGTTTTTACTGTGTTTTTCGTACTGTTCTTATTTATAAGCATTTAATATTATATTTATTTAATTCTTTTGAATTATTTCAATAATTTATTGTTCTCACCTTTCAGTACTACCCTTTTCCCCCAAAATATGATACTACCTACAATAAGCCCTAGTACAGTATGATTTTTCAAGATTTTCATAATATTATCCCTACCCCAAAAATAAGCCCCATTGAAGTGAGACCCCACCCTCCACCCTTGTGCAGCAACCAGAAGAAGAAGATGTGACTGTATTTGAATACATGTAGACTGCTGTACATGAAAAATAATAATAAATCATCTCCTGAAAATAAGCCCTAATGCATTTTTGGAACAGACATTAATATAAGACCCTGTCTTATTTGAGGGAAAACATAGTACAGTATTTATTTTTTAAACACTGTAAGCTACCTTGTGTCCTTTTTAGAAGAAAGACAAGGTACAAATATTTGAAACAAACACATCAGTAAAACCAGTTATTTACGTACTATTTATATTATTCCACCTATAGGGGAAAGGATATAAGGCAGGTGTTTGTGGAAGTGTTTCTGAAATAGTCTGGCTCACTACACCTTGCGCCAAGTAGGGGCACCATTTCCTTCTTTGCCTCAGTTAAAAAAAAGGCTTAGCTCCATATTTCTTCTCTAACTGGCAGTGCCAGCTCAAGGTTGAGTCAGGTTGGGTACGCTCA